TTACCAGGGTTAGGTAAACAGGGGAGAGGATGAAGCTACTATTCAAAAAGCAGTGAGTGTTAATAGTTATAGAAAAATTGGCAATGGTTACAGGTGATGGTTGTACCACAGGACTAATGTAATTCCTTTAATCAATGTGAACAACTGAAAATCGTCCAATTAGTAAATGTGTGTGTATCTACACAAAAACTAGCTTCCCCTCAAAAAAAACTATCATAAACTTTCAAATAGTTAGGATTTAGGACTTGTGGCCTTTCCACAATAAAATTTTAAAACACATAACCAAAGGATTTCAGCATGACTCTGTAACAGTAAATACACATTATTTTTTAAAGGGGGGGGGGGGACTAGTGTTATTTTAAAATTTTTTCAACTCAATTTAACTCATCACATTAAGAAATTAAGAGAAAAATACATCTCCATGAATACCAAAAAACACATTTGATAAAAGGCAATAGTTGTTCATTAACTCTCAGGAAACCAAGAATGGAAGGAAACTTCCTCAATGTGAAGAAGGCAGTTTAAAAACAAAAACCCTACAGCTAACATCATGATATCCAACTGGATATAAGGAATGCTTTCCTCTAACATAAACAGGAATGAATGACCAATCTCAATACTTCATTCTAACACAGTAACTGGAAATTTTCACAGTGTAATAAGGCAAGGAAATAGCTACTTAGCAAAATGATTGAAAAGGATAATGTAAAACTAACTTTATTCATAAACAACATGCATGAAGGCAAGTCTCTGGGTCACTAATAAAATCTATTCGTTCATCTTTAAGAAACTGTAGGTCAGTAAGAACAGGTGCACGCAGTTTCTAATTTGGCCTTATTTTAGTGCAAGAAAAGAGCTGTCCATGGTGGCGCTGTTGGTAAACGCTGGGCTGCTAACCACAAGGTCAGTAGTTTAAAACCACCGGAACTTCACAGATAAAGATGAGGCTGTCTGCCCCCATCAAGATTTGCGCGGCCTCAGAAACCCTGTATAGGGTAGCTGCCATGAGATGGAATCAACCCGACGGCAGTGGGTTTTAGTTAAAGAAAAGGCTTAAATGAAAGCCTTTTCAAATATTTAAAAGCTGCACCTGCAGCAAGAAGGCGATTGTGATAGTTTCAATACATATTTTTAAACTGGCAGTATTAACTAAGCAAAATAATCATGGCAACCAAAAACTAAAATCAAATACTTATCAATAAGCGTGACTATTTATGTAGTAAGACAAAAATAATGTAGAGAACCTCTACAAGACTAAAAAGAAAAAGAGCACAGTTTAAGATGGAAGAAAAAAATTCCATTTGAGAAGTCAGTTTGATTTAAGGGTCTGGAACTAAAAAACAGCAATCTAGGTTAGAGGTATTAACTTCAAAACCAGTATTTAGTTGGAATAGTGGTAAGAGTCGTACACAGGATTGTAAGAGCATAGGACGGGGAAATAAAATCACTTAGAGAACAGCTGACTATGTTAAGAGCCACTGAAGACAGCTCTTTTAAAAAGTGGGAAAGTGGGCGTGTCAAGAGCTAGAAGGGCTAGGTAATGGTGTGGTAAAGGCCAATGCAGAGGAAAAAGAGAAGAGCTTAAATGGTCAAACAAGAGCAAATTAACAAAATCTGAATGATAAGTGGGGTTTACCAAGGAATCCATTGATAACATTAGCTAAAATCTCATTAAAGTGGAATAACAGAGCAATCGTACTTCAGTGGATTAAGTAGCAAATAAAAGCTAAAGCAATTTTCTTCTGAGTTTTAAAGCCTAAATCAAAGGTTGCTAAAAGAAACCATGCCAGACTAAAGAAAACCAAAGTCACTACCATCAATATCAGCCCTGCATAGTGTTTCTAAGGCTGCATCTTTAAAGCAGATACCCTCCCCTTCCACTGAGCAGCTGATGGGTCTGAGTGGCGGGACCTGGATGTTAGCAGTCCCAATACTTAGCCACCCAAGAGTATCACTGGGGCTCCTTTTCCAAAACCATTTTTAAACCTTAAATCAAAGGGTGCTCAAAGGAGCAGACAGTAAATATATTAGGTTTTGCAGGCCTAGTACAGTTTGTTACATACCTTTACATATGCAAACAGACTGTAAGTCAGGTTTGGCCAACCCTTCCTTAAAACAATCTCTACTCTCAAATCAAATATTCAGAAGGAGTTTGCATATAACTAAATATCACTTTCATACATTAAAAAGTGCTATTTCTAGGAGCACAAATTTCAAGGTTTCCCTTTTCAGTGACATGCATTAATAAATCAAAATAATTGTCTTGATCCAAAGCTTAACCAAATGTATTGCTAACTGTAACAACAGAAACAAAAAAGACTTAACTTATCCCTTTCACCTAACAAGACCCTGGCCTACCAAAGAAATTTTAATAAATTTTCCATTACTCAAAAAGAGATTAAACTGCTTATGTAGAACCAAGGTAAAATATCTCAAATGGGAAGAACTGATTAAAAATTTTTTGTTAGGCAGAACTGATTAAAAATTTTTTGTGTTGTGTTTGTCAAAATTGCTAAGGCTATGGTTAGAGAATGAAGTATTTGAGAGCATCCAATGGTTACAACCACAAAGAACATCATAATGAAAAATTTGAAAACAACTTTCTCCCTTTATGAAAAAAACTCTTTACGTTGTTGTACAGCATATACTCCACCTGCAAACAAACAACAAAGCACTGACTCATCCACAATACATGAGGAATTCAGGAGCATGGGGAATCTACAAGCCCTTGTGGCATTATAGGTGGGTATTGGGCTGTGATCCACATGGTCAGGATGCAAACCCACCAACTGTTCCAACACCGTCCTATAAGGTAACTATGAGTCACCCATCAGTCTGATGACAGTGAGTTTCTTTTGGGGGGGGAGGGGTCTATAATCTGAAAGGAAGGTGGTTATGGCATTCTGTGATGCTCACCTTCCCAACACGATCACTAAAGATAAAATGGGTGCATAAGCAAATGTGGTGAAGAAAGCTGATGGTGCCCGGCTATCAAAAGATATAATGTGTGGGGTCTTAAAGGCTTTAAGATAAACAAGCAGCCATTTATCTCAGAAGCAACAAGCCCACGTAGAAGAAGCACACCAGTCTGTGATGTGTGGATGGGATCAGGTATCAGGCATCGAAGACCGAATAAAACCATACCCAATGTGAATGAGGGCGGGCATGGAGTGGAGACCCAATGCCCATCTGTAGACAATTGGACATCCCCTCACAGAGGGTCACAGGGAAGAGATGAGTCAGTCAGAGTGCAGTACATAGCACCGATGAAACTTTCCTCTAGCTTTTTGGTGCTTCCTTCACCTCACTATCATAACTTCAATTCTACCTTACAAGT